ATCACGAAATTATTTGAATAAACCACATCGCATATATGGGGGGCGAATGTCCTAAAGAGGGGCGATATTCCTAGGGTATTCGCCCCACCCCCTGGGAGACGATATTCCTAGGATATTCGCCCCCCGGGGCAATATTCCTAGGAATATCGCCACGTTTTGAGGGGGGGGGGGCGAATTTCCTGGGGGGCGACCTTTTTTAAAATTCTATCTTGCCCCCCCCCCCAAAATTTGAGTTGCCCCTCAAATGCCCCCCCAAATTTGGAAGCCTGGCGCCGCCACTGGACAGAGTCGATAATAAAATTGGGATAATAAAATATGGCATCTTAGGATGCAAATACAACTTAATGGGTTAAAAAAACAAGTCCTTGATCATTAAAGTAAAATGTGTTGTTTACTAAAGAAAAATGACACAAATTGTTTCATTTTTTTCAGTGTATTGCTGATTTTGATGGTACATTAACAAGGGGGTCATTCAAAGGGGAAAAAGCACATAGTAGTTTTGGTACTGTGACAGATGGCCAGTCATAAATGCTTTTTTGGAAATTTCCTATATTTTTATAATTTATAGTAGTATATGCAAGTATATAAGTACATGTCTAAAATTAATGTGCTCTTCAATACATATAGCTGTTGTTGCCCGTTCTGCATTGTTACCAGAGGATGTTGAAAAAAAGGTTTGTGAGTTTGATGAAAGTTTTCTCAGGGTATTGCACATTATTTTGTGATGTTTTAGAATTCCTGAATTACTCTTAAAATATTATTACTTCAGGAAAAAGAACTACGAGCAAAGTATTATCCAATTGAGAGATCCAGGTGATTGTAACTTTATTCTCTCAGCTAATTTCTAGCTAGCGGAACTTTTTAGAGATAATAAATCTTTCTGGTCTCTAAATTCTATGTAAGTATGTCATCGTCTTCATCATGAAGCTGTCAGTAATAGTTTTCCTGTTCATTTTTTACCAGTGATAAAACCGAGGAAGAAAAATTCAAGGCTATGACAGAATGGTAATAATTAATATGAAACACACTTTTGGGATGTTTATTAATGATTTTATGTAAACTTGTTAATTATTGTTTATTTTTCTTCTGTACAGAAGAAAAACATAAATAAAGGATTTTCCTATTTATCCAAAAAGATTTCTTCCCACAGGTGGAAAGGAATCTTTGAAATTCTGGAAGAGGGTGGCTTCCAGAAACAAATGATTCCAGAGATGGTTAAAAATGGAACTTCAGTTTTAAGGTAAAATGTGAATCTGAAGCAATATTGTCCAAATGTACTGAATGGAATCTTTTGACAATTGGTAATAAATTTATTTTTAGGGAGGGTGGACTTTATTTTCTGCAGAGATTAGATAAAGAGAAAATACCTTTGTTGGTATTTTCCGCTGGCATTGGAGGTAATTGTCATCACCATTATCACAGCCATCATTATATTCATCATTATATCACCCCCACCATCATTACCATGACCACCACCATCATTACATCACCATCAAAACCACCATCACCATCAAAACCACCATCACAATCAAAACACCACCACTATCACCATCAACACCACCATCATTACCATGACCACCATCATGATCACCACCACCATCAACACCACCTGATCATCTTCACCCCCACCATCATTATCACCATCAAAACCACCATCATCACAATCAAAACACCATCACCCCCACCTTCATTACCGTAACCACCACCATCATCACCATCATCATCACCATCATCATCAACACCACCTGATCATCATCACTGTCACCATCAAAACCACCATCATCACAATCAAAACACCACCACTATCACCATCAACACCACCATCAACACCACCATCTCAACACCACCTGATCATGACATCGTCACCACCATTTTTGATGTCCAGTTTGTTGTTTTCCGCACGCCTAGATATAGTCCAAGAGGTCTTTGTGCAACAAGCTGCTGATTCCACCAGTAAACTTCTTGATAACATCACAATTATTTCAAATTATATCAAATGGGATAATGAGGGGAATATGGAAGGGATCAAGGGAGATATTCTACATTCCAGCAATAAAGGGGAATTTCCTGCACCTTTAAATTATAAAGACACTACTGTTAAGGTACAAGGAATTAAAAATATTTTTCTATTCTTGCTTGAATTACTAACAAATCTGAGCAACTTCCTAAAATTTTAATGTGTACAGTACATGTACTATAAAAAATATCAATCACATAGTTTTGTTTCTTTTAAATCGTCTTTTCTCATCAGGGTCGCAACAATATCTTACTGTTGGGAGATAATTTTGGTGATGTGGAAATGTTGAACTGTGTTGAAAATGCCGAAACCAGTTTGAATATTGGATTCTTAAATGATAATGTAAGACATATATTAAAGTATTGAAGCTCCCTCAGCAGTGTGTGATAAATCAAGTATAATGGATCTCACAACTCTCCCATATCCAAATTTTGTGGCATGTTCTTTATTTTACTAGGTAAATGAGCTGAGAAAGAATTTTGAACAACTCTATGACATAGTAGTTGTAGACCCGGAATCAATGACTCTTGTTTCTGTGCTGTTGATGAATCTTTTGGACAAGAAATAGAAGATTACAGAAGATATAAATAAGGTGAATTGATCTTTAAAGCTACTGAACACAAGCCTAATTAGCTGTTCATAAATACTGTAATAAAGCAATTTTTATCTAGGTGATGTTGCTGAGCACATGCAATCCTCACTGATAGTTGTCAGACATGGCGGGTACTAGCTAGCTATACTGGGTTTCAATAAAATATTTATTGGAATATTACAGAATAATAGTTAACAATTATATTTGAAATACAAAATCATTGAATGCATAAAATTACTAATAACAATTTTCACTCATAATTTTACATGATGTAGGTTCTGTACAGTAGTTATAACATTTTTCTGACTGAATTCATGTAAGAAATAGGTGGAAATAAATATGCAACTTGGAAATTAATAAATTATTTTTCAGTTTTTTAAGATATGCATGGAGTTTATTAGCTAGTTTATGCATAAAATGATAGTTCTCAGGACACAGTATAATTATGGATTTCAATCTCTATAGCTGCACAGTACATATTGTATGTGTTGTCATTGTACAGTATATGTTCACTGAATACTTTCATTTTAAAATTTAGTAGCAAGCTGGTTTCACAAAATGAAGATGATCCCAAGGCACATACAGATATAGAATGAGGGAATTTGAAAAACAAATTTTTTGCAAGCTGTTCTTCTTTAATTTTTTCGGACCCCTCATAACTTTTTTTCTTCATTTATTGTCGGTGAAAGACTCTTCAGACACAACCTTTATAATTTTTCCTTCACTTTGATTTACTTCAACTTCAACATTGTCAAGATACCATCTAAAAAAATTATTCTACATTGAAAAGTCTTGAGCCTAATTATTGGTATTAGACAGTGTAAGGTGAAGTTCTGCTTGTATTTTTCAGGTACTGTAGTTATAATCTCTCTCAATCTCAGCTTTCTTAGTATGAAGTAGTGTAAGATTATATGTAGGTTGGACTATAAACGAGCAATGATCCATGGACTAGAGTATTAACAGAAATTAAATGCACCTATCATTTCTCTTGGATGATTTGGAGTAGACATTCCCTGATCTCTTTGAGCCTCGAATTGGAACTACAATCTAAAAGATACAAGTAAATATAGTAAAGGAAATACTACCAAATAGTAGTGGATCCAACAAGGCTGCCCTGTTACCCATATCACAACATAATTTTAAAACAGTGTCCTACAGGAGCACAAGACGTGAACTTAAAAGGGATCCTAGGCTTTATGGGAGCCAACTCAATTTTTGCAACCTTCAAGAATCGGGGTCCTTGTCCAGGAATCAGGATGTGAACCCAAGACCATTTATCCTGCCCCTGCTTGCAGCCTGGACACCCATCTTGGCATGCAGTCCTGTTATCCAATATGTTTTTGTAAACCTGTGCTTGATCCTTGGTGATTCGGATATCTCTTCTACCGAGGTTCATATAGGCGAACCTCAGAGGACTACCCAGGATGTCATTGGTTTGTTGATGTTGTTTGACAGCTTCTGTTGTCAGCTGGTAGTATCCACCGGCTGCAAGGTTGGCTGGAAAGAGGTAAGAGTGAATTTGATTAGGCTTCCTTTTCCACCTAATGGTGCTTAAAATAATTAGTTTAGATGTTTAATAACTCACTTAACTTACTGTACAGCATATACCTAAAGATTTCCAGTCCCCTTGAAGACTGTACAGATAGTCTAGAAGTTATGGGTAACCCATTAATACATGTTACACTCTCCTTATGATAAATTCACTGAACACAGTGCGACTAAATTTCAGCTCCAGTGGCTGGAATGTCTGCCATTAATGCCAGATTGTTTTACTGTACCTAATGACAGACAATTTTAGTATTTACTCATGAAGGGTATTTATAAATAATCCAAGTATTTAAATATCTGGCAGTAGAGATTAAAACCACCATACATGCAGGATGTATGTATCAGGGCAAATTGCTGCTTAACTCATTAAGTCAGAATGTGCCCAGCCTGTTCCCCTACATGTAGCCTTTACTATGTTATTCTGTCTAATATGCCAGATAATTTTTCTCATAAAAGGGAAAATGTTAATTAATCCTCCTTGAATAACCCATTGAATGCCAGTGCTCTCCTCGGGACCCTTGACAAGTAAAATAATCTGACGTTAGACAGAATAAAATAATAAACTAGGTTAAATTAATGGTAAATATTTTTATACCTTGAGTTTTATGATGTAAGATGAATGCTCCACTAATGGAAGCAACTGCACCATATATTGCAATCTTTCTTAATTTTTCATAACTCATTCTCTTCCCTGTTGTTTAAATCACTACATATCGATCAACCAATTAATTAACTCGATGTTATTGATCATTATAATCATAGGTCAACGTCAGTGGTAATCATCTGCGAGCTCAGAATTTGACCAGCGGTTGCTCGACAAAACGGCGGGAAATTTTAAAGAGAAGATGGCCATTTGACGTTTCACAAGTTTTTCAACAGTTGGCTTTTTATTTTTTCTTATTTTGCTTAATTTAAAGGCATGAATCGAGCCGTTTTTCATAAATGTCGAAGCCTAAGCAAGGCTTAGTTGGAAAGGTATGGAATTAGCGATTTTTTCTTCAGTATTTTTGTTTAAACTTCTGACAAATGTCCGACAAAAGTTGGGCCACTGGCCGTCTGGCCAGTCGCGTGGAAGTTTAAAGTTTGGTTTTAAATTTGATACAGTTTTGTTTTGTTTTATTTGTCAGCCATCAAAGGCCTCATTGAAGTCAAGAGGGTTGTCCACAAGCAATAATACTTTGAGGTATTAAGGCATCTATTTAAATACTATAATATGCATAATGCATTGACCTTGTGTTTGTTGGCAGATGTGTGGCAATACTGAACATGATATAAAATTTGATATTGAACAACACGTGTGGCACCATAAAAAATATTTGCTACCCTTTGTGGGTGGGTTGGCGTGCAATATTACAAATGAAAGATTTTCAAAAGGTTATTAGAATGTGCCTTGGGTAGTTTAGAGTAAATATCTGCACAGTTGATATCAGTGTTTAATTGTTCTTTAAGCATGGCGTCCCAGCTTTCATTCTTTGTTATTTTAATCTATGTCCCGACTACTTTATTCTGTCTAATGCCAGATGATTTTACTTGTCAAAGGGAATAATGCTGGCATTTGGTGGATTAATCGTATCTGCAGGCCTTGTTAACCTGTTAATAAGTAGCAATGTGCCCTAATGTCCCTACTTTGTTATTTTAATTATTCTGTCTAAGCATTGTCACTTGATGCATGGGTTAACAAGCTGTGATGATTTAATCACATCTAAACTGAAAGGAATTGAAAACATTTCAATGTTTGGACTGAAGGCCATTAGGAAGATAGTGTAATTATTATTTATTTCCTGATAAAGTGCCTAGTTTTTATAATCTTCATAATAGTTTATATTATGCTTGTGATGTTACTCTGAATGTATATCCATACCGAGCAGGCTCATAGACGGATTTTAATGTTTTTTACTGGGGTGGTGCCAGCAATTTTAGGGGGGTGAGCCGTGAGCAGGTGACTGAAGCAACACAAAGTGTCATCAAACCCCAGTAAGGTCTATATTCTAGGGGTGGAGCACTAGAGCCGCGAGGGGGAGTCTAGAGAGCAGAAAACAAAGTATCCCTGGAAAAATTTGAAAAAAATCATGATTTCTAGCTTCGAAAAAAAGTTTTTTGAAGTTGTCATATCAATGGATTTGGCATGTCCGATTGTCTGTTGAGACTTGAGAGAGTTAAAGTTAAATGAACCTGTAAAAGTGTAAACCCAATAGGCCAATACACAATATGCTTTTACTTTTATAAAGTCATTGACATTGTGTCGTTTGAATCCGAGTACAATTTATGATGCAACTCCGATGTAAATAATATTTGGGGCGTAAAGATTAAATCTAGGCAAGTCTATTTCCTGAAAGAATTAAAAACTAAAAATGATGTTTGTAAAAATTCCAAATGTTCCTTGCAAGCAAGCTATTTGCATGACAAGGCACTGCAAACTCTATTCAGGGGAGATAATAGAGTTTCAAAACTTTACAATTGCTCCAATAAACCAGTGATTGCAAGCAAGGAGCGATTAGTTTCAGAGTATTGCACTGTCTTTTTCTATTTGAGTGTACACCTACGTTTATTTTGTTTCATCAACACTCTGCACGCTGGAGTGGACTATTTAATTATTTTTTATTATGCTGAATATTGGGGGGGGGTTGAAAATTTTTTTGGAAGGGTAGACATTTTGTTTGGGGGGTTATTGCTAATATTAGGGGGGTAGCACCCCCCTGCACCCCCACAAAATCCGTCTATGAGCAGGCTTGAAAAATATGCTTGTCCACGGTGGGAATCGAACCTACGACCTTTGGAACACTAGCCTGCTCTGCCAACTGAGCTATGCGGTCAGGTCGGTTCGAGTATGTAATATTCTGGGACAGAATCTAGTTCCTTCGATATCAATGTAATCTAGTAACAGAAAAAATCATAGTTTACTGTATATTAGTTTTTATACAAACTATTATGGAAGCTATTAGTAAACTGATGTGGGACCCCTGCAGTTGAGGTAATCATTTACACGTTATTATTCTTTTTCACACATTTAGGCCAGGGTCATCAGATGCATGTTACTCGCTCTATTCCACTGACTCTGAGGATAATGTGAGTATTTTTGGAATGTCCCTCTTTCCTCACCTCCCCCACCACCACCACCACCAGATCTACCACTGCATGAATAATTTAAAGTGCTATTTCTCCATACTGTTTTTTGGTGCATTAATGTGGTTTGAATGATCAATGCTTAATATTGTTTTTGTTTTTCTTTTCAAGGTATCAGGAGTTAATCGTGGCCTTGATAAATGTGCTGAGTTATTGACAAACATTCTGGAGATTAAATATGAAAGAAAAGGTATGGGTCTGCAGTTATAATTCTACAGTCTTTTAGACATTAACCCATTGAGTCGCGCCTACTTTATTGGGTCGTTCCAGAAAAGATCCATACTCCCCCAATGGAGGAAATTTCTGCCGTCCGGAAGGGGTGGTGAGAAAAAATTGTTTATGATAATACAGTAATAAATGTATTAGGACATCCGAAGGGGGTAGGGAGGTTAACTTCCTATTTACTCCATGGGGGTGGTATGGATGTTTTCTGGAATGACCCATTATTTTACTATGTCTAACACCAGATTATTTTACTCTGTCTAATGCCAGACGATTTTACTTGTTAAGGGGAGAGCGCTGTCACTTAATGGGAACATTAAGGGAGATTGTGACTAACTGTGTGTAGTTTCTATAAAAAAAAACACTCAAAAATGGCCACACAAGAGCCCCATTTAGACGTAGAATCCCATGAAAATTAGGGCTAGAAGCCCCCCCCCCCCCCCCCATAA